CGCTTAATCAATGGCAAATGAGTTAAAATAGCCATCAACATATAAAGTATTGCTCTACTTAGTTGGGTATTTGGCTCAGCTGTTAATTCTTTGTTCAGTTCTCACCTATGTAGCTGAAATAGAAGAACAGAAGGATTTCACTGGATGTCATGTGTGTGTATGAAGACATTTTATGACGCAGTCTCTCTGTGTTTCATCCCTTAGCTGTATACACACAGACCGAACCATATGCATGCGCGGGTAGGAGTGGGAATCATCAGTACAGCCTCCTACGCGCCATGTTTTGAATAGTCATATAACTGATTTGCAAGACGGATGAGAAGAAATAGATATAAGTGGAGGAGCAAATAAAGTGAGAAAGGAAGAAAAGAAGGGAAATTGACCCACACTGCATCGCCTGATGATCAGCCTCTTGGTGTTCCATCCATTAATCACTTTAAGATAATGAGATACTAACCCGAATTCCAGGCCCTTGGGTAAAATTGCACTGATACACGACTTCACCGGCCAATCATCGTAATGCATTGTCAAAGAATAAGAATCGAATCGTACTGACGAATCAGTGATATCATCAACGATTTTAAGAACACTAACGCGAGCCTCATTATCAATCTTTTCTGGACAAAAAACAATGCCTTTTTCATCACCTGACGGCATATTGATAACCGGCTGAAAAATCATCTTTGTAATCGATCCATGATTTTAAAAAAATCTGTCGTAGCGTGCTTCTCAGCCTTTGCAGACCCCCGCAAAATCAAACACCGTCTCGCTGACCAATTGGTACATAAAAAATTCGAGACTCTCAAAACTGCTCATCGCCTCGGCGCGTTGCGAGATCCTTGCGCAAAACTTTTGCTTTGTCAAATAAGCAAAATAGCCAAAAACGCAGTGAAAAGCATTAAAACAAAGCATAAGCAGCGGCAATTGTGAGGAAGTAAACGGTCACTCGGGCAGCTCTTACAGGGATGGATAATGCTAACAAAAAATATGTTGCGCAGGATCAAAGAAGGCACAGCTGCGTCTAACGCATCGACGCATGTCGATAACATTACTAACATGGGATACCCACAGCGAGTATCCGGATAGTTTTTGTATCACTGACAAATAGTATAAAAACTTTAATAAGTATAAAACCCAGGCTGTGATGCACAAAGTTTACCAGAGCAATCATGCGTTTTTGCGTTAAACTTGAAGCAATCAAGTCGTTAACTGCATAAATAGTAGCTGCTTTATATGCAGCTGTTACTGTAAACCATCGTAAATTTTGCATGAAAGAATACGAATAATTTCCGCTGACCAGTCTTTCACTGAAAATGACTTATCAAAAATTTCACGTGTCCGCACTTGAAAATCAGGCGTACTTAGGAAAATCTTTCGATCGCACTTGGACATAGAACATTTCCCAAAAATTCGTCTAACTTATCTGGCTCCTCCAAGTTAGCAATCTCCCCGATAAAAATTTACATGCCCCAATACGTGGAAGCCACGTGTACTTGTCGAGTGAATTTGAAATTTTAAGTTGCACTTCGACAGAGCACATTTCCTCATAAATCCAGCTCTCCAACTTTTCTGGTTGCTGTACTAACAATTTCCTTGCCAAAACTTTCACATTCTCGTATCCGGAGCTCAAAAGTGCGTGAAAGTTGGTAGCATTCCAAGGGCGGCACTTGGCTGGGGAACCCACCGGAAATATTTCAGTTTCAAAGCTTGCCTGGTTGCGAGTCGGAATGCCCTGGCAGACACACACACGCACACACACACGCACACACACAGACACACACACACACTACATGACGTCTCAATATGCGTTTCTGCATTTGCATAAACATACCAAAACGCATAAAAACCAGTAAACAATGCAAATGAAAAACCTGGGGACAAGACGAGCAGTCGAATTTTATGTTTCTGCTTACTTTTTTAGATTTATTAACTTATATAATTACACTCCAAAATAAAAAAATACCTTGATTTTATTACAAAATCTTGCCACTGTCCGATTTGCTATTGCAGTACATCCAATTATTCGGCTAACACTTTTCGGCGGCACAATCAAGACCGGTAAAATAATTTCCTTACTGAAATCATTAAAAGTGAAAGGGAATCAAAATTTGGCTGATAAGTGGTAAGGACGAAAACAGCGATGTTTAGCTTAATCCTAGATTAAATACAAGGGGAAAATTATCCAAAAATCCGCCATAAGTGAAAAATTTTGATTGCGTGGCAAGGAAATGTTCTGTTTTGGAGAAAATTGTTAATAACAAAAATAAAAGCTGCAAATACACATTACTGATGATTAAAAAGCGCGGTGAAATAGTGACTTCCCAGAAAAAAAAAAAACTGCCAAAAAAAACCTGAACAGTTTCTTCTCGTTGTCTGTGAGAACAGTGATGCC